GTGGGTTCCGAATCCAGGCCCTGAGCTCAGACTCCCAAGCCAACTCTTAACCAATGCGCCACTCGGCTGGCCCCGTGGAACATTCTTTGCAGAGTGCAGATCAGTTGACACGGGCTTGCTGCTGCTGCAGACTGCACATTTCTTCAGAACAACCCTTTCCCTGTTTCCCACCATATTTCAGCCATACCTCTGGTGGGTCAGAACTATGGTTTTCCTGTCTCTCTTCCTGCTTCCATCCCTCATTCCACCTTCCCTCTGTTCTAGGTGTGATTTTTTATATAGGGAATTTGGCTGAGTTTCTGGTGTCTAGACTGGATGGGGCCTCCTGGGGTCCAGGGTAGGTTGGGGTGAATGGCGGCAGAACTGAAGGATGGGGTAGAGGCAGGGTCTGGCCTAGTGGAAACAGGTTTGGCAGTCATCAGTGTTCCTGGAGCAGATAAGGCCTCTCCTGGGGCCTCTCCCTGGGCTTCCCCGGTGGCCTCTCACCTGCTGCCCACAGTTGCTGGGAGCTCTGTGAGGACCCACAGCACAATTTTGAGTCACCCTGAAATGTATACACCTTCTGATGACATGGCCTGGCCCAGACCTTGCAATTGCTTAGCTCAGGGCTGAGAGAAAGGAATCCAGAAAAGGGAGGGAAGGGGAAACCTGTAGCGGGCAGAGGATAAGAGTCCCAGGCACTGGGAAACGGAGGCCTGGAGGACAGATCCAAGAGGACACTGAGCTGACCTCAGCAGGTACCCTGACAGTGGGGGTGAAGGGTGTATAAGGGTCCCTCCCCGGCCAACCCTGCAGAGATTTGGGAAGGCCTGAGGGTCCTCCCGTGTGTCTGCACTACATCTGCCCTCTGAGCGGCACAATAGTCCAGTGTAATGCTCTCAAAGTGTGGTCTCTGGACCAGTAGCTTCAGCATCACTTGGGAACTTGTTAGACATGCAAATTCTTGGACCCCTTCCCAGACCTACTGAATCAGTGGCTCCGGGGGCGGGGCCCAGCTGGCTGTATTTAACAAGCTCTCCAGATAATTCTGGCGCATGTTAGTTAGTCTGAGAAGCACGGGCTCGGTGAGAGATGAACTCTGGAGCCATATTGCCTCGGTTCATACAGATGGTCCCCAACTTACGATGGTGTGAAAGTGATGCTCTCTCAGTGGAAACTATACTGTGAATTTTGAATTTGGAGCTTCTCCCGGGCTTGTCATGCTGGGCAGCAGCAGTGAGCCCCAACTCCTAGTCAGCCACACAATACGAGGGTAAACAACTGTTGCCAGTATTTTTTGGATACTATGTTCTCAGCACATATAAAGTCGGCTACGCTAACCTGTGATGTTTGGTAGATTAGGTGCATTAAATGCATTTTCAACCTAAAAACTTACAATGGGCTTATTGGGATATAACCCCATCATAAGTCAAAGAGCAACTGTACTTGCCAGCTGTGTGACCTTGGGCAAATCACTTAACCTCTCTGTAAACCTCTCTATAAAATGTTCCATCATCTATAAAATGGAGACAATAACTGCTACCTTGTTCTTGTAATGATTAAACGAGAATGCTTCTAAGGAGTTTAGTGGAGTGCTGTCACTTAGAAAACATCTGGTAGCCTGGCCTGCTCTGACCTTCGTTTTCTCTCTCGTTTTAGGTGGTATCCGATGCTGCAGGACAGGGCGTGGCCATCACAGGGAACCAGACCTTCAACAACTGGAACTGGCCCAACGCAATGATTTTTGCAGCCACGGTCATCACTACCATCGGTACGTCTTCTGGTACCTTCAGGGTACCCACTGTCATGTTCTAGCACCAGTTCCAGTCACATGGCCTATTGAAGCAGAATCAGGCCAGTCGCAGCCTGTCCCTTTGACGTTTTTCCTGGGGATTTACTAAATGCTTGGTGACTGGCCAAGCCTGGGGTGGGGGGGGTGGGGGGCTGTGATTTTAGGAGTCCTGACCTGGGCTCTTGAGCAGAAAGGACACGACCTGATAACCAGAGCGATGCAGGAGGTTGAACAGGTTGCTCACGACACAAACCCAGCCCGTACTGGCTCACCAAGCTGGGAGTCTATTCTGATTATGGGCAGCTGCACAGCCAGCCACCCCAGAAGCTAGTGGCTTAAAACACAACTCCTTATCTTGTCCGCATTCTGTGGGTTGAGTGGCTTCAGCTGGTCGGCTCTTGCTTGACAGTGGCAGTCATGGTGGCAGGGGCTGGAGGTGTCTGCAAGCCCAGCTGGAGGACGTCCAAGGTGCCTTCTTCCATCACGTGCTTGATAGTTGATGCTGGCTGTTGGCTGGGAGCTCAGCTGGGGATGAAAGCACAATGGTACGGTCACCTCACAGTACGACAGCGGGGTTCCAGGAGGGAAAATCCCAAAAGCGAGCATTTCATGCGATCAAGGGGAGAAGCAGCAGGCTTCTTAGATGCAGCCTACCTACCCACAGCCACTTTCACTGCTTTTTCTGGTCAAGCAAGTCACTAAAAGCCCAGATTCAGAGGGAGGGAATTAGACTACAGCTTGACATGGGCAGCATGCTTGTATAAGAAGGGAAAGAAGGAAGAATATCCATCTTTGGAGACCATCGATCACACAGCACCTCTCGGATGTAGATTTGTATATTGATGCCATACGGACTCGTAGAAGATTTGCTAATAATGATGGCGCTTTAGTCAGGGAGCTTCCAGTCTGGTGGCAGAGACATAGCCCATACCAGCGTAATTGCTATAAACAATCGTGATTATAGTGTGATCAAGGGAAATGTCATTTCCTAAGTATTGATATTAGATCAATATCTGGTGATCTTAGGGAATGGGCCTCCCTCAAGCTGTGTGTGTGTGTGTGTGTGTGTGTGTGTGTGTGTGTGTCTGTCTGTGTCTGTGTGTGCATGTGTGACCCATTAACCCCACCATGGCTCTGTTCTTAGCTTCACTTCTCTTCTTCCTCAGGCTATGGCAACGTGGCCCCCAAGACCCCTGCTGGGCGCCTCTTCTGTGTCTTTTATGGTCTCTTTGGGGTGCCACTCTGCCTGACGTGGATCAGTGCCCTGGGCAAGTTCTTCGGGGGACGTGCTAAGAGGCTGGGCCAGTTCCTCACCAGGAGAGGCGTGAGCCTGGTATGTCCCCAGCCCTAGATGCTGAGCCGTGGGGGGCGGAGACCCTGGCTGGTGACGGGAGGGCAGGGATGATCTAAGAACTGGACAGAGGTGTTAGGACAGGTGGCACGAGGGCAGTTGCGGAATCCCCTGCCCTCCTGGGTCAGGCCGGGAACACGGTTCCTCCCTCCTTCCTTGGGCGGTGGGCCTCCGTAGGTGTGGTGCCTAGCTGGCCTCCCCGCCGGCCACCTCCTCAGCCCCCTGGGTGTCCCTGCTGGGCTCCCCTAGTCTCCACCGTTGTCTGACTTGGTCTTCCTGCCACCCCGTCAGCGGAAGGCACAAATCACGTGCACAGCCATCTTCATTGTGTGGGGCGTGCTGGTCCACCTGGTGATCCCGCCCTTCGTGTTCATGGTGACCGAGGAGTGGGACTACATAGAAGGCCTCTACTACTCCTTCATTACCATCTCCACCATCGGCTTCGGCGATTTCGTGGCCGGTGAGTCCTGCCCTCGCCCCTCGCGTCTGCCTCCCCGCTTCTCTTTCTCTGCTCCTTCAGTCTCAGTTCACCTTCCGTGGGAGCCCCCGTTAGGCAGTCAGTGTCCTGGGTACTTCCCCCATCCAGAGGGGTCCTTACCCCACCTTGCCAGGCAAGAGGAAACCAAGGCCCACGGTCATTGCAGAGGACTTGCCCATTTCCCTTTCTTGGGACTTGTTCCCTCTCTTTTCTCCCCACCTCCTGAACTTACGTGCCTAGACACAGCAGGAGTGAGGGTTATGGCTTCCTGCCTGCAGGGCTTGTGCCTGTTATCCAGAGAGCCCCTCCCAGTCCCAGAGCTGCCTTCTTTCCATCATTTACAAGAGTTTAGGGAGCTGTCTTGTAGGCTTGGCTCAGAGGCCCGAAACTGCTTTTGCCACAGGCGGCGGCTTAAACATAAGAGAGTCCTTCTCCCAAGCTGCCCTGCCCCCCCCCCAGGCCCAGACACTCCCTCCCCCACTTAATCCAGGCAGGCAATCCGAGTCTTTGGCCCCTTTGTCCGGCCTCAGCCGCTCAGTGTTTGCGCCTGTGGCCTGCACTACATCCTGGCTCTCAATCTTCTTGACACCCCATTTGGCTGCATTAGCCCAGCGTTTGTTCCCTCAAGGCCTGCTGCCCTGCCCAGTTGACCTCAACCCCTGCTCAGGGGCCTCTGGTCTCCCCCTCCCCTTTCCAGGGGGCAGGGGCAGGTCACTAGCCTTCTGCCCCATGGTAAGTGGAGACGGGGAATGCTGGGAGGGGGCAGCTGAGTTGGGAGGAAGGAACAGGAAAGAGAGGCCTGAACACTACTGACCAGGCAGGTCTGGGCCTGCTGTATGGGGAGATAAATTTAGACAGAGGCACAACACTGCCATTGTCTAGCCATTGGGGCCCAGAGCAGGCTCAAGAGAAACTTCGGTGTGGAGAAGCACAGCAGGGTATTTAATGATACTTTCTCCGCTCTAGCAAGACATCAGCCCTCGCCTTAGTGTGCTTATCTGTAAAATGGATTAAAAGAGTAATAGTGCCTACCTCACAGGGCGGTGGAAAAATCAGATGGGTTACTGTTCATCAGCGCTGAGGAGAGGGCCCAACTATAGGTGTGCGCGCGCCCTGGTTGTCATCACCTGCTTATGCCCAAGAGCCCTAAGGAAGATTAGCAGCACCTCCTGTCTGCAGGGGGAGACACAGCTCTTGGATTCGAGGCACCTTTCATCTGATGAGGGGGCCCCACTCTGGAGGAAGCCCTCTTTCTGTAGTCCCTTTTCCAAGTTGCTCCTCGCCCAGTCCCTGCGGGGAGGGGAGGCACAAGGCACATAAAGATACAGATCAGCATGCCTGGAAAAGGAAAGTTAAACAGATCTCAGATAATCTTGGCGTGTAAGAGAGCAGCCAGAACTGTACAGGGTGACCCAGGGAGCAGGTGTCAGGAGCCTGGCCTCAGAGGAGGGGGACGTGGAGTGGGCAGAGTCCCCCAGGCCATGGGAGGAACCAATGCGAGGAGGGAAGAAACAGGAAATCAGGAAGCAGGCCAGACCTCACGGAAGGAGAGTCAGGACTATCCAGAATATTTCCTCCCAGGAGCAGTGCTCACAGTCCCCTATCCCAACCACCAGCCTCATTTATACTAACCAGCGAGCCCATCCCCAGCAACGAGGGTGTCGCTTCATTTCCATTCTGGTTGTAATTGAACTATAACATATACACCAAAAAATATACGGAAGAGCCAGGTGAAGGTGTAAGTGACTAACTGAAAGGCAAACACTGATGGACTGTTTTCCTGACCTGAGTGCTGGCTCCAGTACCAGCCTCGCCAAAGCCCTTCCCCTTGAACCTTCCTCAACCCAGGGAATCACACTCCTGACATTTGGCAATGGAGGAAACTGAGGCTCAGGCTGTTTTGGGGCCTGGGATGGGCATGTGAGTGACTGGGCCAAGGCCCTTCCGGACGATGGGGCAGCCCAGGTTCTAGAACAGGCCTCCTTCCTTTCTCAGTGCGTCCCGTTCTGTGTTCTGGTGCTGTGCCCACTCTCAGATAACTCAGCTTTGGCCTTGGAGCATTTCCAGGTCCCACTGACCCTCTCCTGACCCTCTGGGCTTCCTGTCCTTAGGTGTGAACCCCAGCGCCAACTACCACGCCTTGTACCGCTACTTTGTGGAGCTCTGGATCTACCTGGGGCTGGCCTGGCTCTCCCTCTTTGTCAACTGGAAGGTGAGCATGTTTGTGGAGGTCCACAAGGCCATTAAGAAGCGGCGGCGGCGGCGGAAGGAGTCCTTCGAGAGCTCCCCACACTCCAAAAAGGCCCTGCAGATGGCGGGGCACACGGCATCCAAGGATGTCAACATCTTCAGCTTTCTGTCCAAGAAGGAGGAGACCTACAATGACCTCATCAAGCAGATTGGGAAGAAGGCAATGAAGACGAGCGGGGGTGGGGAGAGGGTTCCAGGGCTGGGGCCGGGGCCGGGGCCGGGGCCGGGGTCGGGGTCGGTGCCTCAAGGGAATGGGCTGCTAGCCGTCCCGGCCTCCCTGGCCCCCCTGGTGCTCTACTCCAAGAACCGGGTGCCCAGCTTGGAAGAGGTGTCTCAGACACTAAGGAGCAAAGGCCACGTGTCGCGGTCCGCCAGCGAGGAGGCTGGGACGGAGCCCCCCAAGGACGGCTCCTCGACCCCCGAGGTGTTCACTAACCAGCTGGACCGCATCAGTGAGGAGGGTGAGCCGTGGGACGCGCAGGACTACCACCCGCTCCTTTTCCAGAACGCCAGCATCACCTTTGTGAACGAGGAGACCAGCCTCTTGGATGAGGACACGTCCAAGTCCTCGCTGGAGGACAACTTAGCCGGGGAGGAGAGGCCCCAGGAAGAGGCTGAGACTGAGGTGCCCATGAACTTGGGCGAGCTCCCCTCGTCGGACGAGTCCACCTTCACCAGCACCGAGTCGGAGCTCTCTGTGCCTTACGAACAGCTTATGAACGAGTACAACAAGGCAAACTGCCCCCAAGGCACGTGAGGCAGGGCCGGCTCCCCACTCCACCTTGATGGCTTCCGTTCCCCTTATCCTGAGGCGTCCTACAGTGGCTGGGACCCCCAGGAACTGGGAGTGGGGGGCCAGGGGCCTTCCTCACCTTCCATCCCCTCCAGCTAGATGCTACCTGTCAAGCATGGCATGTGCCCAGGACAGGGCCTCTGTTCTCCAGCTGAACGGGCACCCTGGCAGTGGGAGGCATCTGTCCTGAGCACAGCTGGTGTATTTGGTGGTTCGAAGACATGTGTTGGCGGGCAGGACTGACTCTGAAGAGACCTGCGCTGTGTAGGTCTTCGCCTCATCATTCGGTTGAGAATGTCACACGGTTCTCTTAGGCCAGGGCCTCGGCCATTTGAACTTACTAGTATTCAGGAGCCCAGCACTGAGCTACGCATTTCAGAGGGAGAAGGGAGGGCAGTGACAGCTGGCCTGCAAAACTCCATGGGGAAGAGGTCACCTCCGGGAAGGGAGCAAGGAGATAATGGGCGGGTGCGGTTAACACTCCTGGTACAGGGGACCGAGAGCAAGTCCCGAGCGTGCCCGGGGCCTAGTCCTTCTTGTTGATTCACTGGGACCAAGCTAAGCCCAGAGACCAGTTCCCTGCCTCAGATACCCTTTGGCAAGCGATGGTAGAGGCAGGCTTTCTGCCTCCTGGGAAGTGGTAGAAGAAGGCCCTGGCCACTGAGGCCGGGGTTCCTGGAGCTGGTGGCCAGGGAGCTGCAGGAAGCAGCTCTGCTCTGGCTCATCCTGCACCCCCCCCCAACCCCCCCTGTGCCTAGAACAAGGACCTCGCATTTCCCCAGGTTGCTCTTGGCTCACAAATGGGGAATGGCCAAATACGTGAACAATCTCCTCCCTCCAGCCACTGCGCCTTACACATGCGTGTAAGGAAAGGGTTTGGATGGGGGGAGCAAAAGATAATGTGAAACTGTTTCTGGTGAGGGGCCGGCAGAGTTCTTGAGCTCTCTCTCCATGACGCACACCCTAAGGCCAGCCCACTCTGCCCTGCATGTTTTGTTGTGTTCTTTTTTTAATGAACTGCTGTTTTTCTATACCTGGCATCTGTAGTTGCCTACAGAGCCGGAGGCGAGAGAAGGTGAAAGAGCAGGGGTCCCAAGGATTGGGGTGTTTAGTGTTCACCCTTTTACCCCCCCCCCAGCTCATCGGGGCCCTTCTTGGTGACCTCAGCCAAGGTCATGATGTCAAGAGTCCCTACACAGTAGGGGAGAGGGCACTGACCCACAAGTGAGCAAAGTTGTGAGGGGTACACATCACAGGCAGTGGGTGCTGGGCAGGAGGTGAGTGATCACCCTAGACCCAAACACCCTCTGTGCCCCCCAGACCCCTCCCCAGTACTGTGTGGCCAAATGGGGCCAGAACCACACCCACCCCCAACATGTGAAGACACTGATGGCATGTGTGCCCACACCCCACTCGTCCTGTAACCGAGGGATATGCTGCCCAGCAGCAGGTGAGAAGGAGCAGCCTTCTATTTTTCTGTGAAATGTTTTAATGAGCTCATCTTCGTTTCTTCACCCCGCCTTGCCTGGGTGTCACTGGCTGTCCTGGAATCACACACACTGTATGTACATACTGGCGATGATGTCAAATGTAATTTATTTTAACATTTTTACAATAAAACTTGAGATGGACAGGCCAGCCTGGTGTCTGTTGTGTGGGGGGCAGGTGGGGGAGGGTGCTGGGGTCGGGGGGCAAGGTGGTGGGGCAGCGGGGCCGGGAGGACTGAGGACAGGCTTAGGGTCAAGAGGAGAGCTGGGGTGGTCGGGAAGGGAGCACGGTAAGGCGATGGAGGAAGGCAGGCCTGTTGGAGGAGGTGAGCGTTAACAGATCTGAATGAGGATAGGGAAGGGGCACTGCAGAAGGGGTTCAGGAACCAGGAAGGAATCCGGAGCAGAGGGAGAGAGGTGGGGGCAATATTGGCAAACATGTCACCAGCCTGCCCCGCACTGTCGTATATGCTTTAACTCAGTAATAAGTGAATGTACTCAGCCCGAGGGTGGGGTGGGTATTACAGTCCCATTTTATAGGCTTGGAAACTGGCGCTGAGAGGTGACGTGCAAGATCTCTCAGTGGATGGGGAGCCTGGATTCAAACCCATGCAGCCCCACTCGGGTCTGTTGAGATTGGCTTCTTCCGTCACAGTTTTAGGGCTTTCTTCCCAACGTCACACGGGACAGTTAAAATTTTTAGTCTTGGGAAAAACAAAAAGCTGTGATTTCAGGAGTGAGCAACATTTTTAATGAAAACGTGAATGGGGTTACAAAGGATCATGTTTTTAAAATACCAACCAATTCTGTCACTACTTGATATCATCCCTCCCTCTGCAGCCTCTTCCCACACTGGTTACAAAACATCCAAGGTTCTTGGCTTTTTCTTTAGCCCCTTTCAGCCTCAGGGTAACAATTCTGTCACTCTAAGTGCTACCTTTATTTACCACTAAACTCTATCACGAAGCCCTTTGACAAATACAGCTCAGAGCTCCCCTGTGGCACAGGTTATTTATTTAGCCCCATTTGCAGTTAAGCAGATAAAGGCTCAGAGTGACTACTAGGGCAGGGCTCCTCAGAATTGTGCTCATAGATGATAAGGCACAAACACAAGGTTGGGTGGAGGTGTGGTCTTGGCATGGTGGCTAAGATCAATGGGGAGTTTTCTGAATAAAAGGTCTGGAAATGGGACAGCAGCTGGAGCAAAGGGTGGGGCCAGGGAAGCCCCAAGTTCCTGATGGGCCAACAGGGGTGCCATGCAGGGGGCATGGTCACGTCACAGTGCGTGAGCCGTAGAGGGATGGAAGGTAGAGAGTGTGGGACTCAAGGGAGAGGACCCTGGTGGGGAAATCGCTCTGCTGACACCAGATTCATAACCTGGGTCAGTGAGAGAGACCTGGATAAGGGAGACCTACAGGTTCATGGGGTGCATTGCTCACCTCCCAGAGATCCATGCGGCTCTGGGGCGGGCACTCCCACTCCAGCAGGCTGCTCCAGCAGCCTCCCAGCCCCTGGGTTTCCCTGCTACCTCCCAGACACGTCCCTGCCCTAGTGGTGAACTGGCACTCTGCACTCCACAGTCACCACCTGGACTCCTCATTCATTTGTTCAACTCCTGTTCACCGAGCACCTACTACGTACCAGGCTCTGTTCTGGGCACTTGGGAAACAAACAACAGTGTGTAAAATGGACCAAAAAAATCCCTGCTTTCATGGAGTTTATGGCCTGTTCCCTTTTGCTCTCACTTCTGGACATTTTTCATGGTTTGTGCTTGGTTATTTATATACTGACCATATTCCTCAAGGCTCTTTCAATCTTGTCTCTTCTAGTTTTTGTCTTATAATCCTCACAACAGGTATTTTTTTGTTTTGTTTTTGCAACTTCAAACTTAAGCAACAGCAAAACAGCTCCCCTGACTTGTGTTCCCATTCCCCATGCTACCCCCCGGAAGTGCCCAATCTGATGGGGGAGACACCCTCAGATAACCCAGTCTGATGGAGGAGACAGTTCCCGCCCTCAAAGTGTCTGGCATCTGATGGGGAGAGGAGCACAGAAATAGACAAACAAGCACAAACTCTGTGTCCCAGCTGGGCCTCTGTCCTCTATGGTGATCCTGGAGGAGTCACTTAGCTCCATGCCAGCCAGGATGGATAAAAAGTAACCAGGATGTCTGGGATTCACCCGCTTCCTGGAAAGGGCCAATCCAGGTTATCCTCAGCCCGGCTGTGTGGAAGCTTCCTTGAGCCTGGGGTGGAGTGAGGGGGAAGGAGGATGCAGGCTGAGCTGCACTGCTCTGGGTGGGGGTCTCCTGCAGCCGCTGCCCTTCCGTTGGCCCCTGAGGTTTGGGTCCGGCCCTGTCAATCAACTCCACCTCTGAAACAACAGGTCCCCAATTTCCAAATTTATGCACAACTGGTCCAGGAACTGAATGCCGGTTTGAATTGCCAGGATGTGTTTGCATAATAGTGAAAGCGCCTCCCCAAATCTCTGCCCCTTCCCTCCATCCTGGTCACCACCCAGGCCACTGCGGCCCCTCACCCTGAAGCCCCACAACAGTGCAGGGCCTGGCACCTGGTAGGGGCGCCACAGGTGTTGGTTGAATGAATGAATGAATGAATGAGCCCCCTTTGCTGGTCTTCCAGCTGACCAGCACTGCAGCCAGTGGGATGTACCCTAAACTCAAACCTGACCCCTTTATCTCCTGCTTGAGGCTCCTCAGGGCCTCCCGTTGCCCTTTCCGGCCCTCCTGCCTCCAGCCTCCTCTTCCACTTCTCCAACCTCTTTCTGAGCTCCAGGAGCAGTGAAATTTCTCAAATGAACCAGGCCTGCCCATGGCCACACCGCATTTCCTCTGCCTGTCTCCTGGTTAAGTTCTAAAGCCTGCTGAGGTTCAAGGTGGACATCAGCTTTTCTGGGAAGAGTTCTACGGCTACCTGCACCCACTCTGGATTCCAGGTCCCATATCCTCCTCTGTGCCCAGAACGCCTGCCTCAACAACCTGGCTGCTTCTGTGCTGTTCAGGCTGCCTCTCTCCTGTCTCACACACCCTGATCCCCACTGGGGGCCTGAGGGAGAGCAGACAGTGGCTCACTTTCACTTTCTTTCTCTTTCTTTCCCTTTCTTTCTTTCTTTCTTCTTTTTTTTTTTCTTTCTTTCTCACTTTAACTTCCTTCCTCTCTTCTTTCCTTCCCCCCTTCCCCCCTTCCCTTCCCTCCCTGCATTCTGGGGGCTCACTCACTTTTAGATACCAACCTCAGGGCCTGGTGTGGGGGACAGACAGCTCAGCTGTTTTGTGTTTACTGAGTAGAGGGTGAATGAACCAGAGTCCTGGGCTCTTTTATTGGTAATTCGATGCCTGTCTTCCTTGGGCAGAGGCCAAACCAGGAGGCAAGGATTGTTCCAGAGGGCAAGTTCCAGCAAAGCCCGGTAGGTGATCCTGAGGGGCCTCATCAAAGACTGCGGTGGCCTGGTGAGTCACCTAATTGTGCTGTCGCCCGAATGTGGTGGGCAGGACAGGGACACAGCACACCTTATTTCTCCACACCTCAGAAAGCACCTCTGTCCACACCCTGTTTCGCGTTTCCCCACATCTGTCTGTCCTCACCTCTCACCATCCCCAAGGCAGCCCAGGCACCACTCCCTGAGGATCGGGGGCTGGGCTTCCCACCCCAGCCTCCCCCAGTCCCTGTGTTTCCCTCCGGAGTACCCCTGCTCACTGGCCGCTCACTCAGCTCCCAGAGGCCAGTTTACAAAGCCCTTTCCCTTTCAAACGAAGAAACTGAGTGTCTTCGCATGGTTTCTCAGGAGAGGAAGGCCTGGAACCAGAACTGGGAGATGTTTGGAGGAAGTAGCAGAAAGGCAGGGAGAGAGAAAGATGGGGAAAGAGTAAAAGGCAATTAAAGGGGCCTTGTTGGGCTAGTTTCATTGTGGACATTTGGGCCTCAATCCTGCTGGGGATCGCCTGAAGAACCTGTCCAATACAGGTCGGAATTGTCCCTCTGAAGGACAGGGGACCTGCATTTTATCCACCAATTTCCACTCTCATTGGTTAAGGATGGCCCCGAGGGCATGAATCCCCACTACCCCCCACATATGCTGGATGTGACAGACTGTGTCGTCCAAAGGTGGCCACGGCAATATTTCCCATCCCATATTCTGGTCAGCAAAGTGACCTCACTGCTCCCCAGCCAAGAGGTGGAGTCCATGCCCCTCGTATGCAGGTCGGCCCTGGGACTGTTTTGATCAACAGAACACTGTGCAAGTGGCTTTCTGAGCTTCCAGAATTCATGTGTTAAAGCCTGGCAGCTTCTGCTTTTGTGCTCTTGGGGAAGCCAGTCGCAATGTAAAAAAGCTAAGCACCTTGACACTCATGCTGCGATGAACCAAACTAGCCATGTGGAGAAGCCACGTGGAGAGAGAACCTGCCCGGCCAAGGCTCCATCTTGGACGTCCAGCCCCAGCTCAGGCCACACAGAGTAGGGCCCAGTCATCCCCCAAACTGCAGAGTCAGGAGCAAATAAATGATTGGTGTTGTTTTAAGTTTTGGGGTGATTGGTTAAACAGCAATCGATAATGGGAACACTGACTGGGCTTGCCCTGAACTAAGTGGCCTTCTGCCAGGTTTCGGAGAAATGTCTGCAGTGGACAAGCGCAGAGGCACCAAAGGTACTCTGAGGAGGCCCTCGGGCGGCATCCTGGGACTGTGCACTACAGCTGCACTGACATCTTGAAGAAGACAGAGGGTTTGAGGCACAGAGCACAAACAGCATTTACTACCCTGACACTAAAACTCTTGGAAGTGGCAGAGTTCAGACCAAATGCCAGTAGGTCTTCTAACACCTTACACAAGATCAAAGTTTCTTACCTTCAAGATAGCGAAATCCCTTCTACTCTGAGGTCTCCAGCCCTGTCTGCTCTGTTTAAACATTACTGGAGGCCTAAGGTATGCTACCATCTAGCCATGTGACTTAAACAGCCACATGTGCCATTTATGGGGATCCTTAGTACATATGGGCACTGACCAGGACACTTTATGCCCATGATCTCATTTAATCCCCACACCACTGTGACGTCAGCATTATGATTCCCGTTTGGAAGCCAAGGATCAGAGTGGTTATGTAACTTTCCCAAAGTCACACAGCTAGAACCC